TCTCTATGTCTTCAGGTTCGCCAAACCTTCAAGTTTGTTGGTCTCTAAGTCCACCCTCTGCCTTAAAAAAAAGCGAGGCCTCAAAAGGAAACACAAGTATAAGGAAATGATTGCTTGGCGCAACATTTCGAATTCAGTGAGATTTGAACCCCAAGATATTTGTGAGAATATGGCTCTTAAATTTCGATTTATGGCAAGTAAGACGTCTTCTGATCTCGAGGCTTCCATATCAAGATACAAAATATTTGGTGAAGTCGCGCAAATCTGAAATTGTCGGTGTATCAGAATTTAGTCTTGACTTCGAAATATTATCTGAATGTATCTGTAAGGCATTAAATCTAGAATTTTTGATATGTTATATATTTGAAATTAAGTTTCCAATAGATCAAACGGTTCATGATTTCGACTTTCCTACTTCAAGATACAAAACTATTGGCAAAGTCACGCAAATCTGAATTTTTCAACGTGGTGGAACCTAAAGTTGATTTCAAAATATTATCTGGGATGATTCTGAAGTTATTTGATCGTGAATTTTGGATATGTTCTAGATTTTGAAGTCTAGTTTTCAAGAAATTAAACGGTTCATAATTTCAACGTTCCTACACTAAGATATCACTTTTTTAGTGAGACTGGGCAAATCTGGAATTGATAGCGAGGTGCGATATAAAGTTGGTTTCAAAATATTATTTGGGACGATTCTGAAATTGTTTGAATTAGAATTTTATATATGCTCTAGATCATGAAGTCTAGTTTTCTTGAAATCAAACGGTTTATAATTTCGATATTTTTACACCGAGATATGAATTTTTTGGTGAGACTGTGCAAATCTGAAATTTTCAACGTGGTGGGATCTAAAGTTGGTCCCAAAATATTATCTGGGGCGATTCTGAAGGTGCTTGATTCTGAATTTTGGATATATTTTATATATTGAAATCTAATTTTCGAAAAAAAATCAAATAGTTCATTATTTGGACTCTCCCACGACAAGATATGAATCTTTCGTTACAAGTGCGTAAAGTAAAAAATTATTCAACTAAGATAAATGTAGGGTAATGTAAAGCAAACGAGAAACAATCGTATCTAAGATGAAATAAATATCCACTAGGTCAACCTAATATAAAAAAATAAAAGGGGAGATAATGCTAACAGCCTAATCTAAACAAAATCTGTAGTTGATCAGTTCTTGACAGCTAGTCTCCAAGTTCTTCTTCTTCTCCTCCAAATTGGCCGAATCATCAACAGTCAACAAATTTATGTTGTCATATGAAGAGACCTCAGTCTCGGCAGTTGAAATTTTTTTCTGAATCTCTTCAACCTCCTTTTGAGTCGCTTCTATAATACCTTTGAGGTTCTACCTCTCTTGTTGTAATGTCTGCAACTTCTTCATGACTCTCTTCAATTTCTTTTCACTAGAGGAAACTTTCTTGACTTTCTCACTTGCTTCAAGTTTGAACGATTCGAGACGCTCTTTAGCTTTGGAAATCAGCTCTAGCTTCTGATCTTCACTCGTCTTATCAGCCATATTGGATAGCTCTTGGTCATATGATGCAGCAAGTTCAAAAAGAGAATTCTGTAAATTTTCTAATGGAGAAAAATCCAGAATATTCATCTTCTTCATATCCTCGAAAATCTCAATGATTTGCTCCCTATAAGATGAGAGCAATTCCGGACGAGTTTTGGAGAGCCTATTGCAAATATCCTCCCAAAGTCCCAAAATGAATTCCTTCTTGCGATTGAAAACAATGCTTTTTCCTTCAAATATAGATACCGCCGTATTTGTCATTGGTGAAATGCGAGTTATCTCATTTGGAGTTTTCCTTTTTAGGGATTCGTCATGATGAAGAGATGACACCTTTGACGATGACCGATGACTTCACTTTACACGTAGTCCCTCCAATAGATTCATCACTCACTTGCAGCTTGTCGCATGGGGATACCATCGGATGCCCAATGGTTTTTAACTGCATAAAGAAAAGGCAAAGAAAGTAAGTAACTTATAGTGAAGCTACTCCCAAAAAAAAGGAATGAGCGAGGCGATTGTATTTTACCTCTTTGTTACAAGCTGTATGCGTTCTTGAGGGACTATCAACACTTTGAACCTCTACGATCTCTACTGGGTTAGGCCGTTTCCTTTTCCAATTTTGATCTTCATTGGTACTCTGGCTTGTGTCTTGAGGAACACGCGTGTTAAATGGAAGAACTAGAGGGTGTGTCTCTATAGCTGTTGAAGTGCACACCACTTCTTTCAAAGCTGCCTTTGAGGATTTAAGTTTCCTTTTTTTAGGTTGCGTAACTACTTTTGGGATTGGAGTTGATATTTTTTTAACTTTTGCGAGCGTCTTTCCAACACCTTGATCTTCACCTCCTAAAGAAGTTGTAGACTTTAGCCGAACATTGTCTACCAAAGCTTGTAAGTTATTCTCGAGAAACTTCCCATGCGTTTTCTCCCACCAAGACATATAATTAGTGGAGAAAGGCTTCTCCATAGGATCTCCCGCTGGGGGAAAAACCGCACGTGACATAGATCGATACAGTGTGCAAATCCTCCAAAATCTGATTCCTTCATCTAGAGAGGCGTTGCAGATATCGTTCTCCAAAAAGCCGAGGACGTTGTAAAATCCAAATTGACGACCGAACCGATGCGGGCTATATGGCTTGATGATGAATGAGTTACCATACCTCAAAAGAAGGTAATTAAAACATAAGCTCATGAAGTAATTTGATTCCAACTCTTGAGGGGCATCGTTATCCATGTAATAATAAGGACAGGAATTGGTTAACATTGTTGGTGTCCAAACTATATCTTCCCCATTCTGGATGTGTTTTCTTCCATCCTTCTCGTCAAAGTACCTTGCAGCCCCTTCTCCTGAGTATGACACCATCAAAGGGACAGACGGACCTTTAGCAAGTGGATAGTGGGTTTTGAAGTAATGTGCAAGCCAGCCATAAACATAATGAATGGGAAAAGAAGCTTTGACCTGATCGAGATGGGAAGAACGCGAAATCTTATTCAAACCATGATAAATACTCGCTAAAACTGGGACTGCAAGGTTAATCTGTCGCCCGCCTACCATCATGCTTGCCCTCTTGAAAGTCTCAAGGCGAATGGAGTTTTCTACCTTGGGGAACACAAAGACACATAGCCAAATTGATAAGAATGCCGCTACATATGTCTCATATTTCTTGTCAGACCTCACCCTAAGCTTAGAAAATATAGTTTCTTGATCACTCGACCACCTCGTCGTCTCGGGAATAACTCCGTTAGGATTATTTGTTGACTTTAGGCGTGCAAATTTCTTTTCCTTTTGCAACGGGGCAGGCCTATATATTAAAGCTTTTTATACCAAAAACTTGTCCACTTGATGAAGGAGACCTTTTGGGTAGCACTCGTACCCTCCTTAAGATGATGAAATGCGGCAAATAAATACTCGCAAGATCGAGGAATAAATCTGACTTGTTTTTCATTCAAACCGATGAGTTCTCTTGTCTCAGGTACCACTTCTTCGTACGGAGAACCCGCAATTGGCAAATCCCCAAGGATATGTAAGTCCCAAAGAGGTATAGATAGCTCCCCAGCTTTTGTAAGAAATGTGTTCGTCTTGGGGCACCAAGCCTCACAAAATGCTTGCAAAATGTTCGAGTTTCGATAATAAGTGAAAAGTGAGGCATAGACAGCATCGTAAATCTTTGTTGTACTCAGAGTTTGTTGGCTTCCACCAAGTACGTCTTCAGTCCATTCCCAATATCCTGGGATATGACGATACTCGCCCTCGATTGTTGTTGTGTTTTCCCAATGTACTTCTCCTTGAATTATGCGACTTCCTAAGTTTGGAAGGGTGCTACCAATATTTACATGGCGATGGATTGGCGCTTGGAGAGACCACATCTTGGATAATGGATTAGAAATCGATTTGTGTTCCATGGTCCAGTTCTCTACATGAAGGGAGTTCCTTAGAGGAGGCCATGGGGCTGCATATCGGCCGGCTTGTGAGGTGTGAACCAAAAGCTTGGTTTGTTCTATGCCATCTTCAGTCTCGATGATGAGATATCTAAGTTTTGAGGAAGGTGTGGTATAGTCCCTAAAATTTGCCATCTCTTCGTGCTAAAAAAAGAAAAAGAAAAGAGGGGTCATCAAAGTCCGAATCAAGAATATTAGAATGGGTACAGAGTCTAAACGGATGAAATGCTCTCCAAGAATCGGGCCATTTTGAGAGTAATCTCTCCAAGAATTGGGCCATATTGAGAGTAATCTCTCCAAGAATTGGGGCACATTGAGAGTAATCTCTCCAAGAATCGGTCCATTTTGACAGTAATCTCTCCAAGAATCGGGCCATTTTGAGAGTAATCTCTCCAAGAATCGGGCCATTTTGAGAGTAATTTCTCCAAGAATCGGGCCACATTGAGAGTAATCTCTCCAAGAATTGGACCATTTTGAGAGTAATCTCTCCAAGAATCGGGCCATTTTAAGAGTAATCTCTCCAAGAATCGGGCCACATTGAGAGTAATCTCTCCAAGAATCGGGAAAGGATGAATACTCATCCCCTCACACCCCAAGATTATCTTCTTCATGTGTGGATCATCTTGTTGAACAAGAACGTATCTTTCTCGCTTGACCTACCAAAAAAAAAAGAAAAAAAAACAACAAAAAAGAAAGCACGAGAAAAAAGAAGAAATTACCTTCGCTTTAATGCTTCCAAGTCCACAAAAATAAACTCAAGTGGATCGCAAATATTGTGAATTGATGCTCAACAAATACAAGCACGGGTTTATATAGATTTCTCAAAGCAGCTGGACAAGAGGTTATTTCGATGTGGGACTGGGATCAGATACAATAAGGCGACTAAACATTCCCTTATTCGATTCAGACTCGAAATTGGCCTCATATCCTCTCAGAATTTACGTTTCTTGTGTTGTAGTTGGAATAAACCAGGACTACTCCAAGTAATTGAATTTGTATCAAATGTGGAAGAATGCAGCAAGCACTGACAATAAAACTAAAAGTATATGACTGTGGCAATAACAATGCCACGTAGAAGTCAAAGTGTAATCTCAAGCCTAATGTTTATATTTAGAAAAGATTATTTTGTTGGATTTGGAGACCCTTTGGTAACGTTGGAATTCAAGAGGTCCTTTGGTAATGTTGAAATTCGAGTAACAAAAGTTCCAAATTCTCAAACTAACATGGCCTCACTCAATTCTGTTAATATATGAATTTGATACTAAAGTTCCCAAGACAAATTTGTCTCAGCTCGTTGGGTCAATGAATTAAATTGTCGAAATATACTATATTTTGGAAATTTTAATTCAACCTCGGATTCAAATTTGTTATCTTTGCTAGTACTTCACGACTTATCGCAAGGATTATCGTATCCACACTACGACAAGCCTTGAAGTAGGGGCATTTGTAGGCATATAAATTTTATTTAAATTAAATCCATAAAATAATTTGGACTATATTTTAAATTCAAGATATATTGGTCCAAATAAATATTATGGGCTAATATATAAATGAATTAATTATATAGGTCCAACATTTATGGATTAAATAAATAAGTCTTAATCTATTGGGCTAAAGTGATGAGCCCATTTAATTAAGCCCAAGATGTTATCTTCCTAGAGGCCCAGTTTGGTGTCATATGTCAAATGACGTGGCGCGCCAAGTCAAACGAAAGAGCCAATAGGATCGTGCCATGTGTCAAAATGACAAGGCATGCCCAGTCACACTAAAAGTCCAATGAAATCGCGCCACCTATGCAAGTGACATGTTCTGGCCAATCAAATACGGTCATGTCACACTTCAATTTGATTGGTCGGAAAGCGTTTGTTCTTATCACAACTCCTTCTTTCCACAACTATAAATAGGGGTCTTTATAACTCAGAAAAGACACCAGAAGTTATAACAAGAAGCAAGAGAGAGCTCGTGGATCAAACGCCGCAAATTTCTCTTCAAGTTTCAAGCTTCAAGCAATCAAGTTCAAGTTCAATAAATCAAGTTCAAGTTCAAGAACGAAAAACAATTCAAGTATTCAAGATCAAGAACGAATTCAAATCAAATACAAGGCGTTCAAGATCAAGACTACTTGTTTGTGATAAAATTCGTGGCAACAATCAAAGTGTTTGTGACGGATAAATCAAATTACAATTCAAGATCAAGCTCAAAGGCCCTTGAATTTATACTAGAAAAGTAGAATCAGAGGAATCATAGAGATTGTAACACTCAAATATTTGAAATAAAATACTACGATTGTTGCGATATTTTTCGGTCTTGATTTTATTTTCTCGACGCAAATTTATTGTCTATAGCGTGTTTGAAAGGCAAAGATGTGATTGAGCTTTGAGTGACCTTTGGAGAGAGGTAAGTGTTGGGTCTAACCTTGACTTGAAGGAATTAGGAACCCTCAGATTTGTGTTAATTGAATTCCATGTGAGTGTTGTATATGCAAGGTGACGAGTGCTTATACGATGCCGAATTATCTGTTTATCCTGATTTATCACTTTTCCCTAATTATTTTTCCTCCTATCTTAAATGTTACATGCTCTAAATGCTTTCCATGCTTAATTGCTACGTGTTAATCAATATTTTCTTCTATTAACCATATTAGCTCTTTTCATAGTTCCCCTAATCGCTATTATTTGCTTAATTTTACTTGTCAGTACCTTCTAAATGTAAATTTCTGGTTTGGTCTAGTTGTGCAGTATTATTGGTGTAGATTCTATATTGAACAAGGTTCTTTTTCTTGGTTCAGCTTGGTATTTATTTAACATAAAGACCTTATGATTTAGCCTATTGGTTGATTGTGTACATTGACTGTTTGATACTGATATGGTGGGATCGGGCTGCATGTTGTAGCAATTGTAATAAAGGAGGATTGATATGGTGGAATAAGGGTGAATATGTATGTATACGGTGGGATCGGGTTGCACGGCGCAACAGGTAGAATAAGGGTGGATTGATATGGTGAAATAAGGGTGAAATTACGATATTGATATCGATATATGGTGGGATCGGGTTGTGCGCTGCAACAAATATATATTATTGACTCTTATTGATATTGTTATGGTGGAATAATGGAGGATTATGTATTGTCTGATGGGATTGGGTTGTGCGCGCAACAACCTATATGTTTCATTTTCTTGGGCTTCGTTGTTTTCCAGTATTTTTATATGAGCTAGTAGAGATTGGTAATTTTTGACGATACTGGTTTATTTTTGAGGCTGTAGTTATCATTTCCAGTTGGCTATTTAATTTCTGTACCGTATTTCAATTATTCTATCATTATTATAGACTGCGTATAGGTTTTAGCGTAGGTGAACCGCCTTAGCCTCGTCACTACTTCGTCGAGGTTAGGCTCGGTACTTACCAGTACATGAGGTCGGTTGTACTGATACTACACTCTGTACACTGTGCATATTTTGGAGACGATCCCAGCGGCGGTTACTAGCGAGCCCGGATCGAACACTTGCGGAGACTTGAGGTTCGGTTGTTCAGCGCCTGCAGCTCCTGGAGTCCCCATCCTCTTCTTTTAGTTGTACAACTTCATCCACACAGCTTTGTACTTATTTCAAACCTTTATGTGTATTATCTTAGAAGCTCGTGCACTTGTGACACCAGGTTCAGGAATTGTAATAGACGATTGGCTAGTTAATTTTCGCATTTGTACTTAGAACATATCTGTTATTTTCATTCGTTATTACTGCTATCGTTTAAGTTGTTAAAAGAAGTAAATTATTCTAATGTTGGCTTGCCTAGCAAGTGAATTATTAGGCGTCTTCACGATCCTGACAGTGGAGATTCAGGGTAGTGACATGCATAATAAAATATAAAAATAATGAACATAAATTTATTCAATAATTATATGATTTATTTTTGTAAATATTTTATCCTTTCTTCAAGTAATAAGTAAATTCAAATATAAAATATCAGGATAAAATTCTAATAATAATCCCCTTTGGCCTAAAGTTTTTTAAACATGGTTTGTTCAATAATTATATGGTTCATTTACCTTAATTTTATATAGATTTTGCTAATAGGTATTAAGAAGAAAGACGAGGTACAATTGATTTTTTTGTTTTTTTTTTTGGTTTGGCTTGACATAGTTATTTGAAAATTAGTTCTTAAGAATGTCGAGCACTTCTTATTTAGTAGAAAAAAATGAATCATAAAAATGAGATCAATTTCAAATTTTATGAATAAAATAGGTAAAAGTTGCATCAAGGAAATCAATTTTTCTGCCAACATAAATTTCCAAACTATTTTCTCTACATAAATAGATGCTTCTTCGATAATCTACAAATGAAAATAAATTAACAAGAACAAGTCCATTAATGTTAATCTCACCAAATTAACTAAAAAGGTATTACGAAAAATATGAAATATCAGATAAATCATAAATAGACTACTAAGCATTTAGATATGTGTTAAAGCATAACCAATCTTTAAGAACTATTATAAGAGATCGATAAAGATATTAAGTTCAGCTATTAAAAAGTCACATGGTAAATTTTGGACAATATTAATTGGCAATATAACAAAATTGGCTATCAATTAATTTTTGAATTGAGTGTAAGTATTTATTAATCTGAATTAAAAGATAAAATATTTGAGTCACATGTCGTTAGTTTTTGAATTTTAATAAAAACAATATTCATTAGCAAATTAACCCATGTTGTTCATGGGTAACATGTCGCGGCCTGACCGGTCGTTTTGAGCTCTAGCACGTCGTTCGGTGGTTTGAGATTATGAGCAACTTCACTTCAGGTATTATGACTCGTACGCATGGTCGGAATTGAAATTCGAAAAGTTCGGAGTCGATGTGGAAAGGGAATTCTCATTTCAGAAGCTTTAAGTTGGAATATTTGACTAAGGTTGGATTTTTAAGTAAACGATCTCAGAATCTGGACTTGAAGGTTCCAGCATGTTCGTATGATGATTTCGGATTTGGGCGTATGTTCGGATCGGATTTGGATGACCCAGGAGCATTTCGGCGCCTATTGTAGAAGTTAGCCTATTGTAGAAGTAAACGACCCACGAACGCGATGCTTCACTTCCCAGCCCTCTGCGAACACGAAGACCTTCTCGTGAACGCGAAGGCC